ACCGGGCGGGGACACCGGCACGGAGCCCTGCGGGGCCCCCGGGCTCTGCGGCTCCTCCGGGCGCTCCTGGGGCCTTTCACGCGCGCGGGAACCCGGCCGACCGTGTGTCGGTCTTCGCGCGTCGCTCGCTGGTTTAGCGCGGCCCTTGGGAACTGGAGGAGCTGCTCCTGCCTCGGGAGGCCGCTCGCGGTGCCGCCGGCTTTGGCGTGACTGTGTTTTCCCGCTTCGTTCCCTGCTGCACGCAGCCCAGAGATCCGCAGGAACGCGCCCTTCCGAGCCGCGGGCAGGAGCGCCTGGGGACCCGGGTGTCTCCCGGATCTGTGTCACTGGTGCGCCTTGCCGCCCTTGTGCGGGAAACAGTCGCTAACGAAACTCTAGGGGTTTAGTTTCTGATGGTAATCTGAGCTCTCGTAGTCGAAATTCTTGTGGTTTTGATGGCTATGTTCTGCTTTTGTGAAATCTGCAAGGATAAAGGGTGGATGTGGTGTTTAAGCCTTTTTTTTTTTTTTTTTTCAGACTAAGGGTAAAAACTTACGCTTTTGATGCTTTGCTTTCTTTTTGTCTTAGGCTAAAAAAAAATAAACAGTTGAAGTCCTCTTTATGAAACCGATCCTCGGTCAAGTGTAACTTTTGATGTATGGTCTCTAAAGCCCCCCACTATGCCAGCAGCTACCGTAGACCATAGCCAAAGAATCTGTGAAGTTTGGGCTTGTAACTTGGATGAAGAGATGAAGAAAATTCGTCAAGTTATACGGAAGTATAACTACGTAGCTATGGTAAGTGGGTGCTTGATGTCTGTCTAGCAAATTGCTGCAAAAGTTGTGACTTTAGCTGAGGTCAGTACACTTGCTCATCCTTTTTAAATTAAAAGCATAAGGAAATCTTAATGTTGAATTAACACTGTAAGAACATCTGGATCCTAATCTTTTATCTTTTTAAAAGTTAATATTACACACAGTACTCTACAGCTATGATATGGTTAGATATGTATAGTTGTCATGTGTTCAAGTTTTAATTCTGCTCTTGCAGGACACAGAATTTCCAGGAGTAGTTGCAAGGCCTATTGGAGAATTCAGAAGCAACGCAGACTATCAGTACCAACTCTTACGCTGCAATGTTGACTTGCTAAAAATAATTCAACTAGGACTGACGTTTATGAATGAGCAAGGAGAATACCCTCCAGGAACTTCAACTTGGCAATTTAATTTTAAATTTAACTTAACGTAAGTATTCAGTTTCTGTGCTGCTAAACATATGTTTCTGACTTACTGAAAATGTATAAATACTTTAGCAACCTTTTTATCTATCTGATTATAATACTGAGATACCATAAATACTCATGTAAGGAAAATTTTTGTCAACCAAGCATGCTTTCTTCCTTCATTTATATGCAGTCTGCCTTACTGCTGATAATTTGGTCAAAAATGCTATGCAATTTTTAAAAAAAATGTGGAAGGCCTTTTGTACTTAATGCAAGAGTTAGCTCTGTGTTTTCATGTTTAGCATTTCAGAGTGCTTCTGCCTTACTTAACTCTTACTAGTTGTTACAGAAATCACATCGACTTTAGGTGGAAAATACCAATGCTTGAAGAAAAAAAAGTAAAATCACTGAAGTGACTAAAAAAGTATGTCAAATGTTATCATTCTGAAATGTTTTGTCTAAAGTGTTGGTTCAAAAACAAGCTGACCTTTACTATATTGAAATAATACCATGAACTTTATTTCAAAATGTGAAGTTTATCAGTGATAACACTTTGTAAGCATAGACCTCACTTTTTCAGGGGGATCAAACACTTACCTGGTGCTCTAATTATATCTTTAGCTGGTGGTCAACAAAGTTACTAGTATCTTGATTTTGTTTTTTCTGGAGTAAACATAATTGGTTTGATAGATTTTTGTATGTTGATTATCTATTGAATTGAAGATCAGTACAAACACTTCTCACACATTTAAGTATGTTCAAGCCTTGGGGTTTTTGGCAGTTGTGTTACTGGACAACTTTATATACATGAGTTAAATTCACGGTCTACAAGAGAGGTTTAGAGAACAGACTTCTGTTTTTTTCTGCAGATGAAAAGACTTGTTTTCAAAGTAGTCGGGGTTTTTAAGAGGAAAACTGCTGCTGCCTCTCTTGATCTCTGCCTTCTTTCAAGCAAGTAGTGCTCTGGATTGTCATAAATCGGTTTGATCTGAGCAATGACATGCTCTATTTAGTCTTGTCTGAATTGTCTCTTGAAAGAAAAGTAAGCGCAGATTTAATGTTTTGGTAACTCTGAACTTACCTGGCCATATAAATGCTGGATGAAAATTACCAATTTTCTTAAATAGAAGAATATACTGAACTTATTTATAAGAGAGAATGAAGAGTGAATTAATAACTTCCAAACTGTGTTCTATGAAGAAGGGCTTGTGCTACACTTGATTTATTTTCTGAGCTTCAAAGGTCTACTTAGTATCAAACAACTGAAACCAAGAGTAGTTTTCCATCTATTTGTGCCAGATGCCGCAGAGATAAGGCAGCTTAGTAAGGGAAGATGCAGGTAATCACCAAATTACATTTTACTTGTTGATTGGGGGGTACAGAAAAATATAAACCTGGTAAGTACTGCATGAGAAATTAATATTTTTTATTTTTTTTATGTGGATAGACAACTTACTTATTTTTGTCTGTTTCTAAACATCTTTTTGGGAGTGGCACTGTGCCAAGTGTTCTTCTCCTAAAGCAAAACAGCTGTTGGTTGTTCCTAGAAGGTATTTTTTTTTGTGTATGTGGTTCCAGCCAGGTCTTGTTTTAGTGTGCTTTTAAAGAGCATAAATATTTCTCTAATCATACGATGCACCTGATTAGTACAGAGTAGCAACTAGAATGAAACCCCCTTTTTGTTAAATGGTGTGTTATGGAGATAGACAGGTGTTGAGAAGCTAGTGCCTCAAAGCTGGAGAGCTAATGAGCAGCTGTGCAGGGTGGAAGAAAAAAGATTTAACACATCTTGAGGATGTATATCTGTGTTCTAAAAAACGATGTCTTGCTATCAGGAGCAAGGAATACAGGTCTGTGACTGAATCTAATAGTCAAGTTTGATATATTGGTTGTCTTGTCTAGGTTTTTTTGTGTTCTGATTGTTTTTCATTAAAATTTAAAACTGTTCACTGAAGAGACTGTGGAGTAGTATGTTGTGGACAGTAAAAATGGATTTAATTCTCTAGGTAGATTCATGCTTGCATTATTATTTTTTTTGTCTTCATTTAACCATTTCATGTTTTTGTAATGATGATACAGATAAAACTTCAGGGAGAAAAAATCCAAAACATGAATTTTAGCATTAAGACTTTGCCAAAAAAAAAAAAAAAAAGATAGTGTTAAAGGGAATAAACGCAGAGGTAGGAGGGGAGCAAACAAATCATAGAGAAATTTTTATTTTAACCTATTAAATTTTAGGTTCAAAATAGTTGACCGAATAGGTTAATATTTTAATATTTTTAAAAGTTGAAACAGATTGCTTAGAACAAAAGTTAGGATACCTGAATTCTAAGGATTGACTAAATGGAGTAAATAGTCCATTTCCAATTTTATTGAGTAACAAGTTTGATGAACACATGTCTAGACATTTACACAAGCTCAAATCACAAAAAACTTTTGAGAAATATTATCTACAGAACTAATTCAGTACAGGAATCTGGAGTGTATTTCTTATAGTTCTGTAATATAATGTGTTAGTGCTTCAACTGTTATATTTAATTTGTCACAGTTCAAACAATTTATACAGACATTTTGCCAAATGAGTTTTATAGATGCACTTTCATCTGAAGGTTTGCAAAAGAGTGTTTATTGGTAACTGGTAGAGGAGCAGGAACTAATTTTTGTATAAGATGGTAAGAATGGAGGTGAAAAGGGAATGGTGAAATGATAAAAGTTAAAAAAAAACTTTGAAAAATGGTTGATTTTGTAATTAACCTGGAACAAAGTCAAATTGCTCCTACTCTGTGCTAGTGAAGTCTGTGGATTGAATAGCAAAAAAGAAATGTTACCTCACTGAGGCTTGTAGATTTTGGAAATTTACTTTTCCTCTCTGTTTTTAGAGAAGATATGTATGCTCAGGACTCTATTGAACTGTTGACGACATCTGGAATCCAGTTTAAAAAGCATGAAGAAGAAGGAATTGAGACACAGTACTTTGCAGAACTGCTCATGACATCAGGAGTTGTATTGTGTGAAGGAGTCAAGTGGCTTTCCTTTCATAGGTAAATTCTGCGTGTTAAGTATTCGGGGTTTCAACATCTGACTGGTGTTTGAGTTCTAGAGCTTGGATTTCACATCTCCTGACTTTGAGTGCTGTGTATGTAGCCCATGTCTTGATTGGTAAGACTGAGGAAATATTTCTGCTGTAATACCTCTAACACCATTTGGTATTGGAAGAATAGAGACCACAGGTGTTTTACTGGTGTTTTTAGCCTTGGTGTTTATGCAGTAACCCGGAAATTGTAAAGCTAAGAACCACGAAACTGCTAAACCAGCAGGTGGCGCTGTACACGTGCAAGTAATAACAGAAACATTACTAAAACAAAATATTCCTAAGCAATCCTTGAGGAAATATTGTTTGTTTCATGGGAGAGAATTATCAGTGAGGAGGTCTATAAAATATGCAAATCTGGGCAGATGAAATTACTCACCTTGGAAGGAGATCCCTGATAAGCCTTATGCATATATTTTACTGCTTACTCTATCAAAGGAGTCAATCTTTCAAGTAAAAATAGAAATGTAAATGCTAAATCTCTATGAATCTGTCATGATACAAAAGATTTTTGAGTTTTAATAAGATTTAATACTTTAAAAACATACACAGTAGTTGTTGTTTAGCTAGCTACATGCCAAAATTTTTGCGAACGACCGTGTCTTTAAAGGCTTATTTCTATGTAATGCCCTGAGACATCAGTCTTAAAGGCTGACTTCTAGGGAAGTCAGCAAGGTGAAGCGAATTAACAAGGCTGTACTCATGATAGAACTCTAAAATAATCTTACTTTTGCACTCTTGTTTCTAGAGTAGCACCTTGGGGAAGAATACTGTAACAAGAATGCCTTAAATTGTGTCAAAATAACTACAAAAGCCAATTTAGTATTAAGTTTTTTTCAGCTTCCTAAACACAGTGTTATGGGCTCTTATGTTTATATTTACAGTTGACTACAGTAATATGGATGGTTCAAGAGAAGGGGGAGGCAGGTTATGCATGTAACTGGTGCCTCAGCAGAGGATGCCATGTAGCAGCAGCTTCAGCCTCAAATGGGTGTTTTTCCAATATTGCCTGATGACTGGGCAATATAAGGGCCTGGTATAAGGTATACCTGAGCAATTTCTTCACTAGGGATTCTTTCTAGAGCATAATTATATTTAGTGTGCATAATTCCTAAGTAATAGGCTTGTAGTGTAGTGCAAGCTGTGTGCCATAATGCCATCTTCTACTGGTGCAGCTTTTGAAGGGTTTTTGAAATGGCTTTATTAATAGAAGTCCAGTTTCATCTGTGTTGAAATGAGTTTCTTTTGTGGATTTCACTGAAAGAGTCTTTAGAAATCTTCTTAAGACAGTTGTTTAGCAAATATTTGTCAAACACTGATTATTAGAGTGTTTATAGCTTTTCCAGACCTTGTTGATATTATCTTGAGCACAAAACCTTGGAGTAAGTGGGTTACATTCTGAGTAACCCAAGTAAAATTATGAAAAGCTATAAATGAGCATGGGTCATACAAAATGTGCCACAAAGAATACTGAGTGGCTTTCTAAATACATCTTTGATTGTGATTATGTTCTGTCAATGGAAACTTAGGCAGCAAGATGCTCAGCTGAAAATTTGTTCCATTTAGGCTCTCCATGCAGTAGTTCTTTGACAGCTGATAAAGCTGTACTTGGTAGTTGCTGACTGCTATTGCCTCTGTTTCCTTAAAATGCTTAAATTACTACTAACTCTTTAAAATTTTGAGTCCCATAGTAAGTAGGAAAGTGGAATCACTCCTTTTTCAGAGTATGAAGTTACGATTTGGTTTTCATTTTCTAGTCTTTGACTTCCTTGAACTTTCATGCAGTTCATTTCTAAGCTCTTCCCTTCTCACATAGCTCTCTGTGTGCTTTTTATCTTTGCATTTTATGTAGCTGCCTTGGCATCCTGACATGTTGCCAAGTCTACGTGGACCTGCAGTTTTGTCAGATATGACTGAAGAAATATTTGCACTGTCACCAATTCTTGTGTATTGCAACTTCATAGGCAACTTCATCTAATCTTGTGTGAGTGTTCAAATGTGTTTGAGTCAATGAGAGAAGAGGGGGAAGCCCTGAATTTGTGATTTTTATCACAGTCAAAAGAGCTGTGAGTACTTGACAGTAGCAAGTTAGGAAGGATCAGCTTAAATGTTGATTGTGTGGTTGTTCAACTGTCTGCTCTGCAGAAGCTTTTAAGTGTCCACTTCTCTGCAACCTCCTTTGTCTAGCTTTGGAGGGTCTGTGAAAACATGCTTTTTTGAAAATAAAAACCCAGATGTTCTTGGGATGCTGCAAAATTCCAAGCTGATATGTTTCAGTAATAATTTTATCTAACTGAATTTAGTAAAATTTAATCTGCTGGCTCATTTCTGTTAGCTTTATAAAATGAGCTAGAGCTTTCTCAGCTCTTGAAAGTTTTGATTTATTTTAGAGGCTTGATGCTTGAGTAGAATTCATTGTTAATTGGCTATCTGAATTCTTTCTTGAAAGTAAGGGAAAGAAATAGAGGCATGTTTGATCTTTACTTTTGTCTTGTTGCCTAGAGCTGTCCATGTTCAGTGAAAAAACAAAACAAATGTCTGTAAGAGTGAGTGCTTGTGTTGTATAGCTCCACAGATTGTGGCTTGCTGTGCTAAGTGATTTCGGATGATTATATTAGAAATGGTGCAGGTTTTTTAAGGCAAGGAAGCCTGAGTGCTTTAGGGTATAAACCAACCACTAATCACTGTTTGAGGTTTAGAAGAAAACTTCTTTAATGTGAAGGTAATTACCTAATCGCTCGCCGTGGACTTTCTTAGACTTCTGTTAGCATCAGTAGTGGCCAGTCAAAATTTGTTTTACTGGATCTATCTAAGTCTTGAACTGGAGTGATAAATTTTGTGTCTCAAAGCATGGATTTGCTAAAATCTCCAAGTGGAAAAAATATATAGTTATCAATCAAAATTGCTATTTGTAATAACCTGCTCCCTTTCCATCTAAATAGTAAGGGAATGTTGACTTTTCTTGAAGTACTTCCTTATTTAAAGAAATTAGAAGTGTTTGAGAGCATCTTTTTTTTATTATTTTATTCATATACATTTTTTTGAAGACAAATCAAAAAAGCTTTCTTTTGAAGAGGAGTACCACAAATATGGTTTTTTCACTTTAAAAGTTTTAATGTGACTTACATTTGAGCCTTGAGGATGATCAGTGTCAGTAATTCAGTGAGGTAGTAAACTGTAGACTCTAAAGGAGTAAGTCTCCATAATCCTAAACAGTGCTTTATGCGTCTTTTGGAACAGCATTTTTTGCTAATGTGGCTTTTTCTTTTCTCCTTCTATAGAGGGCTTTATGTTGATACATAAAGCGGCTTTCCCACCACTTCCCTACCCCTTCAAATGATCTAATAAAATTAGACTTCCAAGCTACTGTTTTGCCAAGTTTACTACAGTTTTTACTTTGTAAGAGTCAACTGAAATCCTTCTTTATCTTTGGCTCCTTTGCTCCCTGGCCAGTGGCTGTTGCTGTGGAAGTTGGAGGGTGGCCAGCACAGCTTCAAAGTACCAGATGCAGTACAGGATTTGTTCAATTTCTGCTTAGAGCACTGGAAACCCCCATGGGAGATCTGCAGTAGTCTATGGCTATTAGGTATCTTGTGTTAATGGACTTGTAGCAAACAGCCCGTTTACCCACAGTATGTTCAAGGTTTTTCTACCCTCTGTCTAAAAACTCATAGTATAAAGATGACAGAGATAACCTTATTGTATACAGAAGATTCAAAGTAAACTTACTTACATTGAGTGTGCAAGCTGAAGCCTTGAATCTATGTCAGAAGTCACCACTCTTTGAATATCTGCAGGATACATATATATATATGTATGCAGTGGTATAGCGCTCTTAACTGATTTATCTTTTCTATTGCTTATCTCACAGTTAAAGATCCTGACCAGTACTTACCAACTTGAAAAATTCTTGGTTTTGAGTATGACCCTTGTGTAATCAAGAACGAACACAAAGTCTTAAACAGGAAATTTGGAGTCTGTGATGGCCACCTGCTCACTTGAGTCATCCCTCAGCTCTATGCTAAGATTCCTTAAATAGCGAAACTGATAAAACCTTCAGTAGAAGCAGCTCTACTGTAGTGTTTTCATATTCTTTGTTAGTACAGGCATTTTTAAAATTTATGTCAGTAAAATCTAGGAGCAGATCTGGTTCAATGCAAACTTAGTAACGTGGAAGAGAAAGTATCACTCCTTGATTTAGTTTAGTGCATAAGCAGTCCTACAAGTACAAGGGATAAGAGCAGATGAGTTTCATGACCAGGTCATGAATAATCTGGTTTGTAATTGCTGCTCTCCTAGGAAGAAACATAACTAGTCATCACTGCTTTTTGTTGTGGTGTTCAGTCTTGCTTTAATACATGACATCTCTCTTTCCTTTACTTAACCCTCTTGTTTCCTCTCATAACTCTTTGTAGAAGGCCGCAGTTTCCCCGTTACTGCCACGCCTCAGTCCTACATCCTCTTTATTCAGTTGAGCTATGGAGGAGGAAGCCTTCCTGAACTCTTCTCTCTACCGTGTACACACTGTAATACCACCATTTCTTCTAAAAAATAAGCACTGCTCAGTTACCTTGCTGTCTCCTGCAGACTTATATATATATATATATATATACACACACAAATTTTTTTTCCAGCTTACTTTGTCATTGCCTCCAGAAAGAGTAATAGTCTACAAGCTATTATAAAGTTTTTAGTTGTCTGTGTGCTGATTTAATTGGAAAAGTTGAAAGACAATTCCTCTTCTTTGTTGCTGAGGGTTAGATTTTCCTTGAGGCATAAACATGCATTGGCTGTGGAAACTCATTAATCTTTTGGATTTTGAGAACTGTAGAAGTTTCTGTCTCAGTTTGTAGTGAGAAACTCCAGTCTATGTGAAAGAAACCAGCATAGGAGTCTTTCTGCTGGAAGTTCTTGTTATTAGATGAAGACCCAGCAGCCCTACTTTATTTTGGGATTTAGAGAAAGTCCTGTAGGCAGATCTTTTTACATCTTCACTTGGCCTTATTCAGACCAAATTAAAATGTTTTTGGAATCTGCAGTGGGGTTGTTCACATGGAAGTTTAGGTTTTTTACATAGACGTTGGTCTTTATTGCATTGAATTTAAGCAGAATATCCTGTCAATGTGCAGTGAAGTCTTGATGTTGGAAGTGAGAAGGATGCTTCTAAGTCAGTTGCTTATATTATTTTTGTTATTAATTTGCAGTGGATATGACTTTGGCTATCTAATCAAGATCCTGACAAACTCCAATTTACCTGAGGAAGAGCTGGACTTCTTTGAGATACTGCGATTGTTTTTCCCTGTCATCTATGATGTAAAATATCTCATGAAGAGTTGCAAAAATCTGAAGGTAAGTAATCTGTTAATGGTTTGGAGCAAATTTTGCATTTGGAGACAGGATACGTCATGCTTAAAAATACTTTCTCTTTTTTTTATTGTCTGCTTTTGCTTTGATGGTGCATATTAAGCATTGTTGTCTCAAGCTTTATATATTTAATATTAAAGGCATTGATAGAAGCAGGCAAGAGCACAAATAAATTTTTATAACTGTTTACCAGTTAAAAATACCGTGTTTAAACTGGATACTTTGTTGATAGATTATAAACCCATATTTGGAATTAATTCTTTATTTCCTTAGCCATAAGAATTGATGGGTCTCATATACTCTTATTTCCTCATTGTGCAGTCCACTAAAGGACTGCAGTCATCTAGGCAGAGGTAATTGCGGGATGATGTGGAAGTGTCTTGGATGAGAAATGAAGAATGTTTCAGATGGCTCCATAAGCAAAGATAAACAACATATGTTTAGGGACAACATTGGACTTCTAGGAAAAAAACGAACTAGAAATTAATTTCTCATGTCAGGCCAGTGGAGCTACTAATTGGCTTATTCTATCAAGCATAAATTTGGATACCTTACTGGTCTGGAGCACAAGTGGGACCTGAAGCTAAGCGTGTGAAGGGAAAGACAGACAGCAAGTGAAAGAAAGATACTAACGGCACTGTTAACAGCTTTAATTGCCAAAGAGCTGTTAAGACTCTGCACTGCTGCTGGAGTGAGGTGCATCACTCATCTGAGGCAATTGATGATTTTTTGCTTTTTATGGAAAGTAATTTAACTCTAGGATTTCTTAAGGAAAACCTGCAGGAAGAGGAGGACACTCACCTTAGTAACATCAAATCCTGTCTAAGGAATGGCTTGCCAGTTCATTGTGCTGAACTACTGATCTGTGTGCTGTTTATAGTCTTCTTTCCTTCTGAGATGAACTAGCAGAGTGTGTCACTTTGAATAGTAGCCTACTTTTGTGGAAAGTAAATTGTGTGAATCCTTTGTTAATCAAATTAATGTTGAAAATGTAGATCACCCTTTCAGTTAGTAAGAAAAGTGTACTTATCTGTATTCATATACAGTTGTTACTGGTACAATCATCTGGGCAAATGGCTGTGCATTAGGGAACATTTTAGAAACACTTCTCCACAGAGGCCAGGAGTAAAAATTAAACGCTCTTAAATTTCAGGAGTCTTAAATTAGTAGGGGGGAGGAACCTGCCCCAAAAAGTCCTCACTTTCTCACTCCCAGTGAAGCAAAGTAGAGCATCTGGTGCCTATCTGGTGACACATTTTGCAAGAACAGAATGTATATTCCAAATTTAGTGACATAGAAAAGGTGACAAATTGATGTTCCATGTCACCATTCAGAGGTGACATTCCCAGTGGGCTTGGGAAAGAGGGTATTGTAGTTTCTGGCATCATTAAGGCATAGTTGTGTGTAACCTGCATTGTTTAGAGACTCTAAGATTTTTTTGGAAGACAGGAAAAGCCTTCACAGGTCTTACTTTGGCAAACCATAAGAACAAGGGTGATTTTTTTTTTTCAGAGCTGACTATGTAGGTCAGCTTTCCTGCAGTAAGTTTTGATCCACTCACCTATCCTGCAGACCGATAGTGACAGCAGGGGAAGGGAAATGGGCTATTTTACCCCTCCAAATTTGCCAGTGATGAAATTATGGTGGACTTGAACTGTACTGAGAGAAACTGCCTGAAACAAATCACTAAACATTTAGTGTTGTGACTCTAAAAATGTGTGTGCTGTCTCCAAATGTGTGTCACTTTTCATCTTTATTAAATTGCAGTGAATTGAACAGCTGTGAATTTGTCTTTTATTGACTTGCCTAAGTTATTTTTTGTATGATAGTCGCTGATCTGCTGTAGGTCCCCTACTCTCTGCCCCCACACACCCAAAAAAGATTCTTGGCGTTGGAAAGAGAAATAGGCTTCAGAACTGGAAATCTGATTGATGCTTTTTTGGGGGAATTAAATACTCTGTGAATTTACAGTCTGTTATTACGACTTTACTGGCATGCAGATTGAAGTTGACTTGAGATATTAATGTATTATGGGCTAAACTCTTGCTTACAGTCTAAAAAGCTTTTAATGCAGACAATTCCAAACCTTTTGATAGTAGTGGCAATCCTAAGTAATGTAGATTGGTAGACCTTGTTGAAAACTTGCTTTTAATTTGGGGTTTTGTGCAGAACAATAAGCTCTGTGACTGTGCCATGAAATGAGAGTTCAAAGTAGATTCGCTGTTGACTATGGTTGAGTGATTATGTAAATTATTCTGTGGCGTTTTCTTGGAAGGTTGATACTCTGAAAATTTGGGAAGAATTTGTCCTTCTCCAAGAGTGAAGCATACCCATCTGGAGTGTAAAAGTCTTACCTGAAAGAGAATCTCAATAATTTAATAATTTGCTATTCTGATTCCATCCAGGACAGGGTAAATTTTTGCAGTAGCAAGGAAAGGGCATGGCTGAGATATGGAGTTTATTCTGTGACACCTCATATAATTTCCTGGGCATGGGGGAAGAGCTTGCTTCTGAGTCAGGGTAGTGTGGTGGAAGGAGCAGTCAGGTATTATCAGGTATTATTGTCAGATGTTTCTGTAGGTGAGCAATAATATTTATTTTCTTGCACACGCTATCATTAGTATTGTTGCTATTTCTGTTTGTTTTCTTATCTCACTGCTAATTTCCAGTAAATGGTTCATGTCTCAACCTGTGTTCTTCACTTTTTGTGCCTCCAGTTCTCCTCTCCGGTCTGCCACAGGAGAGGGGGGAGTGAGTGAGTGGCAGTGTAGTTTGGAATGGTTTTAGTGGAAACACTAAATTGGAGAATACCATTTCTAAACCATGACAGCCTTACTTGGCACCCAGTGTGGGGTGTGCAGGGTTGAGATCTGATCAGAGTGGCTTCATTTCATTTAAGCATTTGTCCTATTAGATTCAGAGGCAGTGGTCACAGTGTTGTTTGGTCTATTTGTGTGAGGGTGTCTATTTGTGTGGTACCTAACCACGTATGTTTTTATGTATTTACTATGTGCCCATCAGGATGCTCATTTTCAGATCAGGATTGCTTTGTTGATGTATGTTGATTGTATGAAGTCACATTTATGACATGATAACATTGAGGGCCATGAAGATCATTTGGGATATTCAGTCCTGCTCTCCTACCCTTACCTTGGGTGCTACCTCTGGGAGTCCATTGCTAATCATTCCTAAACTGGGAATGGGAGGATTAATTTCCCCTGCTTTTCACTACCTTTTTCTCCTTCAGGCCTATTAGAACAGCTTTTGAGAATTTTGAATTTCCTTTGGGTGTTAAGGAAAACATGCTCTTGCTCCTGTGTCTCAAATCAGGACAGAAATTTCTAGGAAGGTTAACTAGAGATCTGTCTGAGGGAGGATAGTCATGAGTAGCATGGAATGTGGGATAAAATGGGCCATTTTGGGGGAAAATTCCTCCAATGTTTTGAGAGTATATCACTACAGGACCTTGATAATGTGACAGAATATTTACAAGAAGAATGCTGTGGCAACTCCATAAAGAATCAACTTACTGAAGTGTGCTGGGCCCCGGCTACTCTTTACTGGACACAGTCCAATGCTAGACCCTTAAGGCTAGGACCTTTAGGGGAAGAGGAGGAAAGCAGATCAACAGTGCTGTGACCACTCAAACTGCAGCTGAACTGGAAGAATGACTCATGCCAGTAACAGTCACACCTACACAGAAGGAAAAAATCCAGGACCAAATCAGTTTGCATAGTGAGGCATAAAAAGGAAATAGAGTTCTCAGAACAGGAGGAAGAGGCAGGACCAGAGATAATCACCCAATTTCTATCCCTGGATGAGCCAAGTGAAAAGATTACAGCTGCCAGTCATGAAAGCACCGGATGAGCTGGCTGCTGTGATGCTGGAATATGGCCCACAATATGAAACTAGATGATAATGAAGCCAAGCAACTGGTGTCCCTATCCTAGTGGGGATTTGGGAAGAGGACAGAAACTCAGCCTCTGGCGGCAACTCCTGTCAAGCATGAGAGAAAGGTATTCTCTCCTGAATGATCTAGTGGTATGCCCAAGCAGATGCAGTACCATGGAGAAAGATGTCCAGTACCTGAGAGAATTAGTTGTGCTGAACGTGATCGGTAAGGATTCAAATAACAAGAAGTCCCCTGTAGATCCAGATAAGGTCCACTGTACACAATCCATGTGGCAGAAGTTTGTACAGAGCACACCATTGTCATTCACCAACTCATAGGCATTGATGTCAATGAAAGAAGGAGAAAAAAACAGTCCTTTGGGTGACAGACTCCAGTAATCTCTTTTCCTCTTTACCAACCTGCTCCTCGGCTGTGGAAAGACTGTCGAAGATTGCAGACAGATTCAAAAGACTCAAGCAAACTGGATAGATGTCCCATGTCGCACCAGTAAGGACCAGAGTCGCTGCTGATATACACAGAGTTTCTGTGTATCCTTGACATAGATTACCTCAGGACCCAAAAGGTCATTGCTGGGCTTTTGAGATAGCTGCTGTGGAGACAGAGGAAATTAGACAGTTGAATAACTTGCCTCATTTCTCAGAGGACCCTTCTGCTTTGGGACTGCTGAGAGTCAAAGAGCAACAGGTAACAATTTCTACCACAACACTGCACTGTCAACAATGCTGCATTGACTGGGTACTTCATGACCTTCATCCATGAGATGATTTGTGAACTGGCGAGCCAGGGAGTGGTCAGCAAGACCCACTCACCCTTTAATAATCCTATATGGCAAATTGACTGGACTATCATGGCCTGAGTGAAGTCACACCACCAGTGTGAGCCACTATGCTGGAAATGCTAGAACTTCAGTATGGAGTCCAGGGGAGCACAGTCAGTATCATTGACTGATATTGCTGATGTATTTTTTTCCATTCCTTTGGCAGCAGAGTGCGGGCCACAGTTTGCCTTCACCTGGAGGAGCATCCAGTACACCTGGGACCAACTGCCCCAGGAGTGGAAACAAAGCCCCATCATTTGCCATGGACCAATCCAGACTGCACTGGAAAAGAGCGAGACTCCTGAAGACTTGCAGTACATTGATGACATCATTATATGGGGAATGTGGCAGAGATGGTTTTTGAGAAAGGAGAGAAAATAATCCAGATTATCCTGAAGGCTAGTTTTGCCATAAAGCAAAGTCAGGTCAAGGGATCTGCCTGGGAAATTCAGTTTTTAGGAGGAAAATGGCAAGATGGATGTCATAATGATTCCAGTTGATGTGATCAACAACATAGCAGCTAGACCCCCACCAACCAGCAAGAAATGAGTACAGGCTTTCTTAGGTGCTGTTGGGTTTTTGGAGGATGCATATCTCAGATTACAGTCAAATTGTAAATCCTCTATATTGTGAGCCAGGAGAAGAATGATTTGAAGTGGGATTTAAACAAGCTCTTTGAACAGTTCAAATGGGTAATTGTTCATCTGGTGGCTAGTTCATCCAAGTAGCCAGTCTGGTGTTTTGCACCAGACAAGGTGTGTAGTCAGTGTAGCTGCTCTACACTGCAGCTGGGGAGAATGGCCTTCCTGGAGCCTCTGTCAGAAGGTACCTGGAGAGGCTTGAGGCTGACCTGCGTTCTGGAGTTGGGGGTACAAAGGATCTGAGGCCTGCTATGCTCCAGTGGAAGAACAGATCCTGGCATTTTTGGAGAGGTTTGAGCTGCCTCAAAAGTGATTAACACCAAAGCAGAGCTCCTTTTGGCACCACAACTACCGGTGCTGGTCTGGATGTTTGAAGGGCAAGTCCATTCCACACATCGTGCCTGATGTCATGTGGAGTAAGTGGACTGCACTGATTTCAAAAATAGCCTCATGGACACCTGGGCCAGCGAGCATGCTATGAAGTGGGCGTATCATATTCCCTATCATACACCAGCCTCTGGGAAAATTAGATGGTACAATGGACTGTTAAAAAACCTTGAAAGCAGTGGGTGGTGGAACTTTCTGATGGTCGACTCTACATTTAGCAGAGGCCGCCTGCTTAGTTAACACCTGAGCGTCCACCAACTGAGCTGGCCTTGCCCAATCAAAACCTCCACATACCATAGAAGGCGATAAATCCCTGTTCTTATATCCCTATATGAGCAACATGTTAGGAAAGACCGTTCAGATTAGTCCTGCCTCAAGCAAAGGCAAATCCATCTGTGAGGTTTGCCTTCAGGACCTGGTTACACATTCACCACAGGGGGATGGAGAAACATGATGATGTGTACTTCAAGGGGATTTGATTTTTGGGTAAGAACACTTTGTAATGTTGAATCATATAATACTTGTTGCTGAATTCCACTGTATGCCATAATTACTGTGGCAAATGAATATGGAGTGGTCCACATATACCACTCATGAGCTCCTGATGCAGCTTGCAATGAGCTGACAGCACACCAGTGTTCCTGCCCTGGAAGACATCTAGGATAAATAAAACCCACAGTAATGGACTAAATTAAGAGACATCTCAGAGAGAAGGCCATTGACTATAGAAATTATACCTGTACTTGTGTGTATGAATATATGTATATAGGTGGAAGTTATAAGATTTGGACATGACATAGATAGTACAGGATGAGAAATGAATAATGTCCTGGCTCCAGCCAGGACAGGGTGAATTTTTGCAGTAGCCAGGATGGGGCATGGCTAGGACATGGTGGTTATTCTGTGACATCACTTTTTGGGCATGGGGGAAGGGCTCACTTCAGGGTCAGGGTAGTGTGGTGGAGGGAGCAATCAGGTATTATTGTCAGGTGTTTATCTGCTGCTCAAGACAGACTAAAACTAGCAATAGCTGTACCAGGTTTTCATATTAGTTTGTAGATGTTATCAGGAATGTTAGTATTGAAGCTTCCATCATTTTAAACAAAAACCTGAATGCAAATATGTTGCCATAAGACTCGCAGGAATTTTCATAATGTTTGATCTGATTTTCAGTTTGGACTCCTTTATAACTCCATGAGTTTTGACTGCTACGCTTTTGTCTCTTATTGCTTCACTTCCTGTACTTAAAATGGGTTAAGAGTGCATGGGAAGGTGAACTCTAGGCATTCTTTATTTAAATGCATTGCCTCTGTGCAATGTTTTTGCCTTTCAATGCTTATGGCAGCACTAAAGATTGTTGTTTTGTTTTTTTTAATCTTTCTATATCATTAAGAATGTGCATGTGCTTTAGTCTTGCCAGTAGCTTTATAGCTTAATTAATTGAAAAAAGAGTCTTTGTACAATCACGTGCTCACAGCAGTAAAAGATTGCTGTTACAGTATTACATGCCTGTCCTTCAGCTGATCAGTGTTATCTATGTAAAACCAAACCAAATTTTGACAGCTTTGCTCTCACATGTAGAAGGTATTACTGTTTTGGAGAGGACACTAAAATTGTGTTTATTTAGTAACTTTGCAGTTAAGGGAATAATTTTTCACATAAGATTATTGAGAAGAAAATTCCCTTCAAAACTGGAGAAGTTTTACCTTCTAGAGAAGATAGATTTGCAGCTTTGGTGTGTTCTCTACAGCCTTTTCTGTCATTTTAAAGCAGTGTATCAACAGTCATTTTGAAGGAATTCTTAAGTAATGACATCTGGTTACTGGAGAAGCTGGAACATACGGAGCACTAGTTTTGTTGGTTGCAGATATTGCTTTATTTAGTCAATACTGACAGAGAATATTATTACTGTTTGATATGGAAAGTTTGATTCTCCTGGTATGCATTTATCAGGTATAATGACTGTTTCAGCTACAGTGTGTAGGTATTAAAATATGCCTGAGGTTGTATGGCCTGTGTAACAGATAGAACAGCTGCATTTGGGACACTCTTCTAATTTACCTTTTTTCAGCATTTAACAAAAACATTTTGTTTTTCAGGGTGGATTACAAGAAGTGGCTGAGCAGTTAGAACTGGAAAGGATAGGACCACAGCATCAGGCAGGATCCGATTCTTTACTCACAGGAATGGCCTTTTTCAAAATGAGAGAAGTAGGTGGACATATTGTTTTTATTTCCATGATAGTCATGTGCTCTGATAGTTACATGGAATTGCTGATTCTGATAAGTCTGTGGTATTTTAAGGAGGTCTCTGAAGGGCTTCAGGAGTCAATCCTTTCTTGACAAAAATGAGACCACCTGTGTTTTTCCCTGAGTAAGTGTGAACCAGCCTTACTGATTCCTTGCTGGGTGACTGTTCTCAAGGCATTTTTTTTTTTTTTTTTAGCGTTTTTCCTCAGTGTTATATGCAGCTGTTGTGTACTGCTGCTTGTGGCAGGCTGAGAGGTGGGGAAGAAGTGTTGATGAACCACTTCTAGCTAAACTTTCAGGCTAGAGGTGTATTAGCTAATGACTTCTAGGCTACTTTGGAGAATTTCCAAGCATTTTTTTTTCCTTGAGTGAAGCTCAGTCTAACTAAGGTTCTAAAGGTCAGTTAATTCAAAGTTTACAGCAAGGACAGTCAGGTATTACAAGCTTCACATTTCCTCGCTATTTGTCTGCACACAACAGAAAATACAACAGGAAAATATTAGGATATTTTGCATTAGCAGAACAATCAAATGTCAAACAGGCCTCTTCTGGAAAGCAGTTGCACTGAACAAATGCCAGTGCATCAGAATATGGCATTCTTCCAGCAATTCAATGTCATTTACCATGTCAGAACAGATGGCAATATCAAACCTCATCATTTCATCATGTTAAGTACTATATGCTGAAGTCTTCTTTCTGGAATCCAGCCTTTTGTATGAAGGAGAACATGACCATGAGACCGTGACAAACACTAGTGACACAGCAAGTGAATAATAAAGAATGATGGTTTAGCTGGTTTGCTTATCCTAGCACTCTGTTCTGCCTCTGCTGGAATTGTTGCAGTTGTCAAGCAGGTCATGGGCTACAGATGTAATGAAAAGGATTATGTTTGGTAATACATAAACCGTATGATCTGGTATGATCCAAGCCCTGCTACCTGCAGTCTGCCCAGTATTGTTAAACTTCCACTCTTGAATTTGAAACAAAATCCAGAGCAAAAAAAGGGAAGCATATGATAATCATGCTTAATATACAGCCTTTCAAGTTAGTTTTCTAGAGTAAAGGTTCAAACCCATGATAGTTTCTTTAATGAGATGCAGTTTGTGTTAGGTGGAAAACTAGCTAGTTTTATTTACTAAAAGCTTTTGCCACAACTAGAAGTCTCTGAAGATTTTTTTAGTGCAACACACTTACTTAAGCCAACAGACATGGACTGATAATGAATTTTTTTCCCCCAGTACTTACAAATACTCTTTGCAAATACAACATTTCTAAATGAGAGTACAGTAGTAAGCAGAGTGAAGTACATTTAATGTAGATTTTTAAAGCTTTTCAGCAGAGTTCAGTGTTTTAAAATGTATTTCTGAGTACAAAGGCTTCACTTTACAGTGCTTTTGGAGGCACAGAATTTTGTTACTAATTGCTGTGAAGGAGATGCAGCTTGCTTGCTGGGTCTTGGAGTGCCAGCCAAAAAAGTTACTGATCCTTTTATTTCCATCAGGAATACTTAAATAATGATACTACAAGAGTAGAGTTGTTATTTTGGGCTTTTTCTACCTGCTTTATTTCATTAGGAACTGCTGTGGGCTGTAAAACTTTTAATTAAAGGTTCTGATTCCTACAGGACAGAACTTCCTATCCTGACTGCTGCTAAAAGCAGAGCTTGAAGGGAGAAGGTTTGAGCTGTGTGGTATATACAGGCCTCCATGTTTAGATTGTGTATTGTATCCATTCTCTTCCTGTATATTTCTGCCTGTCTTAGGTTTCTGATATTGATGATGACTCAGAATGTGAACCATTCTGGGGTGTCCAGGATTGCTATGAAGGTTTTAGGGTGAAAAATGTTTGTGTATATGTGTCTTCTTATTTTTTCAAGACAATTTGTGATTTTGTGTTTGAAAACCCATGTCTGAAAGGCAGAGTACCAGAATAACATGGACTTTATTTTGTCTTACACTGAAAAGTTCCATTTCCAATTTAGACTTGTAATGTGTAAATGCAGGCTTCGTACCAAATTTTGCTGTTCCTCATTAAATGAGAGCTCTGAGAGGAGCTGAAAATGCATCTGTCTGCATTTATCTAAATTCTGTGATGGGTTTTGTGCCCATGCTCCCCACCCCCAAACCCACATAATATAAATCAGGACATCTCTATTCCAAGACAACAGAGTATGGTGAAAACTTCAGATTGAGGAGAGGTAAGGGAACAGGCATTGATGATGGATGCTAAGCATATGTTTGTTGTAAGAAGCAGAAATGAGATGGAGAAGTATCTTTGTTGCTCTTGCAGATATCTGAGTGATGACTAGTAATACAGAATTGTGAAAACATTGCATTCGGCCATTGAATTGGGAGAGGCGCACAGGAAGACTGATTATATTTCTGACAGATTTAAATAATTGTGTCATATAGCACATTGTGATAATGTGTTGAGATTAAGTGTCTTATACTAATTATATCATCTTTTGCACCTTGGGATTTGATATCTTATTTAAAAATAAAGTAATTTTAAAGCCTTTCTACAGTTCTAATGAAACTGAACCTTTTCTTTTGCAATAATTCATGTCAGGCCGTCTTTTTGACCTCCACATGCTTGTATATAGGTTTTATCTCTGGTTGAACCCCTTGGACAATTAAGGCTTTTTTCCCCCCTTTCTCAGCACAGTTTCTTTTCTGCCTTTCTATGTACTAAACTTGACTGTTCCTATCACAGATTTTGATCTTAATATTGATACGTAAAATTTTCTGGGTTACATTTTGGCCTCTTAACAAGCCCATTTGTAAAGAAGCTTGTATAGGATCAGTGTGGCAGAGAGAAGGGGAAAGTTGAATGATAATGAATATTCGGTAAACTTGCCTACATTGTTCTTCCAGTTTTTTGTCTTTCCCTTCCCTTCTCTAAATTAATTGGCTCTGATTATAACTAACTTCCCCCTTCATGTCTGTTCTTTCCAGTATGCAGGCGTTTTAGCTATTCAAGATTGTGGACCATCAAATTTGCACTTTAGAGAGCGACTCTGACTCAGATCCTCTGTTTTATTTGAAGTTTGTTTTGGTTTTTTCTTTTGCCCTCAGCTAGAAAACAATCACTTGCCAAGTTCAGCAGCTTCAAGCTGTATTTCCTTGGTATCTCAACCCACACAACGGGACTTATTTGCTGCATAATCTGTTTGTTCAAGCAAAACAAACTACTGAAATCATAGTAATTGCTCTTACTTTACTAGTGTTTGGTCATCTTCCAGCACATCCTGCACATGTCAACTGCTGGTTGGCCTGCTGCTATAAAACCGCTCTGTGATGGGGGAAAGAGGCTTGAAAAAACAGCTTTACACCCTTCAGGAAAATAACAGCTACGAATTTAGCCTTTTTGCCATTAAGCTGAGAGTTGAAGGATAATGGAAAAGTAGGAGTCTTGTAATGGCACATTTCCCTTGATTAACTTTGTGGCTTTTATCTTAGTAATGTACACCTCAGATATTTTTTATGAAGTCATATTTATTATGTACTTGATTTCATGATTTTTGTAAGTCAGTTTAGTTGAAGAGAAACCCCAAAGATTTGAAAATATACTATTTAATTGAATTATTGAATTAGAAAGACAATTAAATCATGCTTTTTTGTAGTTGTTACAAAGACAGATGTTACAGATATTTGTTGTAATACAACAAAATATAAATAACTTCCAGCTAATAAAGTTACCTGAGGAGTGTAATGCTAGTTTATTTTTGAGTATATCTTACAATATATTTTAGATATATTGTTTTCAAGGACCCTGAAGTATCTTCTGAACTCTGCATAGCATGTACACAGAGCAGTTGTGCAGGAAGGATTTTTGGTACTGAATAGCTAAATACTAGCCTGGAATGATGGAATGCGTGACATTGTGTGTCTGTGCGTGTGCACGCGTACGTGTGTTTGACACGGAAATCAATGGCAGAAAAATCTCCAAATGTTCACCAATTACTCTGTTGTATCTTGTACTTAAAAGCAAAAAATCAAATACCTTTTTCTCATTGAATTATGATGATGTAACTGGGCGGTCCTTTTTAAACAAGTAATTTGCATAACAGAGGGTATTTGTTTTTAAAGCTTTTGTAAATAAAGGCCTAAGAAATGTTTTCTTACATAACAACAGACTGGTGGTTTTGTTGCAAAATTTTTCCTGGAATGTGATTATTTAGTCAGTTCAGCTCTGTTTTGTTAGGCATGATAGTTCTTTTCTACATGCTGATTTAGAGGCATCTAACTCACTGCTCCCTGACTGATTTCACATTGAGAGCAGAATTATGTTCATGGGTTTCCAGTCATTTAATTCTTACTGTCCTGAGTTGGAAGAGGGGTGATTGCAATTTACTTCTAAGGCATCCTAATCCCATTAGTACTTTTATACCATTATGCATTAGATGATGGTGACTTCAGTTGTCTTTGGCTTTAAGATAGTGATGGTGAAAGCAGGATGAATTGTTACTGTGGCCTCCAGGGAAAGTTTGCGTAGACATGGAATGAAGAACTCCTGAAGTTTGATGCATTTGCTTTAAAGTAGCAGCTTTGCCTAAAGCATATGGATACAGCTATCTGGTTAACTTGAGCAGAATGACTCTTTGAAGGACTTTAATGGGTTTTTGTTTTGAAGTAGGTTTTTAATCGAGGATCAAAGGAAGGTTTTAGAGCCTTCTGAATGTGTGCCTACAGTGAAAGTTCTAGTGCCGATGGGGATGTGCTTTTGAAGTGACTGCTGAGCATTCCATATGCTATGCTGTGCTGTGCTGTGCTTTGCTTCCCATCATAGAATCATAGAATGGTTTGGGTTGAAAGGAACCTTAAAGATAATCTAGTTCCACCCTCCTTATTCTGGAGAGGGACAGACCGACCAGTATTTCACTTCAAAGAATTCTACTCTTGAGTTTTCTGCCAGTAACAAAAGCATTTTCAAAAGCCACTGGTCAGCATGAAACAGGTTATGCTTTATTCTTGGTCTGATCACTGTGATATATCTGTTGAGAGTTGATTGCAGCTGGGGAGACATCTGTACATCATTCATTTCCTTGGAAAAATTAGATTTAGTTTCCATTAAGGAGTGATTTAAATTGTGAATTGTAGAGATTATGA